ATCATACCATTAATATTTGGTGGTTAAATTGCAATCTTGTCGTCTTGTGACAAACTAAGTATCTCGTTTGATACTGAATGCTTCAGGGACATTAATTTCTCTTTGAAGGTGAATATAAAATGAGTGGTGCTATTAACAAACAATGATATACAGCGTTGATCAAAATTTAGTAATTATCTGTTTCCCTTAAGTGCACTGAACCTCATAATGAACATGTATAATTCTCCTCTTTGTGTATGTGCATGTGGGCATGTGTTTCTGCATGTGTGTAGCATCGTATTTGCACTTGATGTATGTATGTAATCTTAGTAAATACTATTGTTTTGGGCATGCAGTCATTTGCCTTGAATACAAACAGGCTAATCGCTGTATTCTGATTCTCCATTATGCCAGTCAAGTCATTATTGTAGGGATAGAGGCAAAACACCTGTCCATTTTATAAGATCATTTACTAAATTGACATATGGTAAAGCACTAGACAAAAGCAGCATACTGTGTGTCACTAATCTGTATGCAGACATAACCATTGATGTGTACCTTTCATGTGCTCATAAAACTCACAAAAGCCATTAGGTAGTCTCATTCATCATCTCTGAGAGCTCACCTGGGTATGAAAGCTTCCAGTATGTAGACAAAAAAAGAAAAAAGAATTAAAAAAGATACAATGACATGTCAGTTTGGCCTGCAGCTATAGTTCCGTGGGGTATTCTTGAAATATGATCGTATAATTGACCCATCCATTGAAAATTAATGAAAGAAAATCAGTTGGTGGCCTGCTCATTGGGATAGCTGTGGGAAACTGGTTTTCTTTGATATCAACTCAAACAGTCAGTGGTTTGGAACAAATTTTGAATGTGAAAACAGTACTGTAGACATAAGTACATCAATCAAAATGATTTAAATCAAGTCAATTTGAGGTCGCAAAAAATGCAATTCATATGTAATCTATTTCAGAGGTCTTATCTAGTCTGTAGAATTTACACTAAATATAGAACATGTTTGTTGAATCTCTTTTGGGACCTTATTAAACAGACTTAAACGTTTTATATCCTCATTACAGTATAATGCTATTGGGATTGCAACTAATTATTTTCATTACCACTCAATCTGCAGATTATTTTCTTGATTAACAGATTAATCATTTGGTCTACATCACATCAAAACATAGTGAAAAAATGTCCATCACAATTAAGAGCCCAAAGTAACGTGAAAAATAATTGAAAAATTCTAAATGGGTCTCAGATGTCTGACTTTTATTTTGACCAAGAGCTTCCACAAACATCAGCTAAGTGAAAACAGCCCATTTTGTAGGTCTTATTTATTTTGTGTGTGAACATAGTTACGCAGTTATGATGTTGCAGGGATGAAAATATGTGTATATCTATATTAAAAAATGGATTCCACTGTATATGTGTGTATGCTATCCTATTTGAAAAATACATTTGCTTGGTTTGAACTCCATCAAAGTGGGTTGCGACTTACTGACCACGGGAAAATGTGGGTCCCAAGGTGAGAACACCACCGGATTAATCTACTAGACATTCTGACTGGCACAGCAATCAAAAGTATATTTTATATTTTAATATTTGACCCTGGAAGACATTGTGGGTCTCTGTTATCATTGGTATTCATTTTGCGTTGAATTTGGTCATTTCAGATTTATGTATATTAATCTGCTCTCTGCTCAACAACTGCCCTTCCTTTCCAGTACATTGTAGCGTGGGTGTTCTTCAGCAGTCGGTTCTCATGTCATGTCTCAATGTCCATGTGATATTTTGCATGTATTTACCTACGATGGCCAACTGCATAACCTGCAAATGATACACACCCTATTGTTATAGTCAAGGTTAGAGTAAGGTGAGGCTGCTGAACATTACTAAGATGATTCAGTGGAGGGTACAGTGCAGCTTTAGTCAAGCTAAAGTAGAAATATATATAATAGAAATATAGAAACTGACCTCACATCAGAAATTACATCAACAACATACACCCACCCTACATTCAACCACTATCTTTGTACTTTATCACTGTCTGTTTCACTTGAGCTCCTTCTATTTTCTCACCAAGTCAGTGGGAGGAGGTCACATTAAATGGTGACTGTGCATTTTCATTTTCAGAATTAAAGGACAAATTTGATAGGGGAGCAAGTGCTTCGGGGCTGCAGCTATTGGACATATTTAGAACTATTTCTGCAGCATCTCTCGTGCTCTTGAGCTGGGGTGATGAAGCTGGTTTGGATGTCAGAAAAAAAAGAAGAGTGGATGAGAGGTGGATGTGATACTATAATTTTGCTGTGACAGAACTATTATCCTTTAGAGAAAACATGGAGTAGGTAACATGGATTTTTTCATCTGTTCGCTGCAGGAACCCCTACAGCTGACTAGCATGATTAAGAAATTGAAAGGAGGATTTAAAAATAAAAACCATATACACCAATCACATGTTAATAATTTAATCCCCAAAGCCTTCCTTGATTGACAGAAATGTTGAGAATTTCCCACCTTTTTCTCACCAAGTCCCTTTTAATAGACTACATGGTCTCCATTAGGGCACTTTGCCAAGCTGCATGATAAAGGCATTTTCAGTTTTGAAAAGGTTGCATGAATTAAGTAGACCTACCTTCCCTGTGCAAGTGACTAATGGGTTGTGAACGAATTACATTAGTTTAATTAATTTTTTTTTTTTAAGTCAGGGGCATAAATGAAGTAGCAGATATATGGTTATTGATTTTGGTGAGTTGAATTGGCCAAACCAATAGTGATCAACTAATTAACTGGTCAGAATGTTCTTCATTCCAATTAGTAACAGAATAATTTCCTCCAATATAATATAGAGAAGTATTATTTTCACTTTCAGAAACTTTAGAGCCTCAATGTCACTGTGGACTGTTATAGTCTACCCCTTGCAAAAGTAATTACTCAAGTTATTATTTAATTTTGTCTCAATAATTCCAGACACGGTGAAGCATGACTGCACACTCTTAGACTGTTGTAATTTAAGGGACAATATACTTCTGTAAATGGAGTAGACTTCTCCTGACACTACGCACTCAAAACTGTGAAAAGGTTGGTAGAATGAAAAGACAGCAGTTTCTTTATATTGAGATAACATGGGGTCTGCATGCAAGATAAATTGGATAAGAACTGAAAGAAATGGTGAGTGTGCCTGGCATATGGGCGAAACCTCTCCATGTAGAAAAAAACCTCACGCTGATTGTTTCACTTCACATAGAGTCTGGAAAAGCTTATATAATCCCATTGCTGCATAAGTTTGGATCCCCTGCTGATAGAAACAGAGGCTCAAACCTCTAAAGAGCCAACTTTTTTTTTTTAAATTTGAGCTATGGATGCATTTTTAGACTTCAAATAAATACATACAGTGGCTTTTAGGGATTTGTGGCCCCTCTAGTCATTGAGCAGAAGGATATAAAAGAAGAAACACCTTAACAAATTTCTCGAGTCGCAGCAAAAATATCTGACAGTGCTGATTTCTCTTATATTGTGAAACTCATATTGAAAATGACTCAACATTGGCCAATATATGACACATAACAGGTTGTAGTCAAATAAATATTGGTTTTACAAATTCCTGAGGCCCTAGTTGAAATTACAAATGTAAATCACAAGATAGAAGGCATACTGATTATTGCCTACAGTGTCAGAGCTGCCAACTCAGCAATCAAAGTCACACATTTTTGGACGCTAACCAAAGAAGAGACACAGAAAAGAGAATATAAACTACAAAAGAAATGTATAAGAGACCAAGCCAAGAAAGAAAACTTTGAGCTACTGCCTGGTCAGACAGCTGAACTAAGATGGAACTTTGCATGAATTTCACCAAAAATACACATCAAGCATATCAAATCAACTGAGGGACTACCTTCAGCACCAAAGACAGTGGCTGTTTGCATGGTGTGGGCCACTGTGGGGGATAATTGATAGCAAGTATTACCCCAATGATCTGTTCCACACATGGGAATGCAGCTACAGGTGCACTGCACCCTAATTCCCAGTGACCTACTTCTACTTTTCCGGCAAATTAAAAGTTTAATGAACCAGATAAATATTTTCTGGATATACTGGACGATTGCTGAATGTGAGTATGGTGCATGTGAGAGTTTGAAAATGCACTTTTATGGTGTTATATAAAACTACTGTGTATGGTTCTGTCTTTTGTAGACTACTTTGTGTGACTGTGATGCTTCAGTAAATTTAAAAAAAAGATGTAATTTGGTTATATAGAATATTGGAGATAACAGATAAGTGCATGTCAGTCGAATGTAATTGTATGCACTGGTAGAAAGTAACTAAAGACATTTGTATATTTTCCTCTACTGAGACTGCAATACTGAGAAAGTGCTGCACTTTAAAGTGTATTTTATGGTCCACTACATTTCTAAGTGAGAAAATATACTCTTTACACCAAAACTTTACTGCAAGATAATTATTTTAATCATTGTGGGCATTCTTTTACTTTATATTTAATTTTATTCTTAGGGTTAAGGTTCTTAATTTTAGTTTAATGTATGTTTAATGTATGTAATGTATGTTTAATGTATGTAATGTATGTTTAATGT